TGTGTGTGTGTGTGTGTGTGTCTGTGTGTGTGTATGTGTGTGTGTGTGTGTGTGTAATACAGTCTTAGGGATGGAATTTATGTCATCACATTTAAGTACCCACCTTTGATGGTAGCAGTGCGGCCTTCTCAGCTCGCCTCACATGGTTTCTGAGTATGAGTCAGTCAACATGTTTTTGTGTGTGCATGTTTGTGAGTGAGTGGGTGTGTGCATGAGTGTGTGTTTGTATGTACTTGCATGTGTTTGCCTTCCTAGTGCTGGGATTGTAGGAACATGCCACTATACAGAGTCCTTTAAAAAGAAAATGTGGCTCCCAGCAATGACACTGGAATTCTCATACCTGTGCAGCAACGAAGCCATTCCCCATACTCCTATGACATTTAACTTTTGGGTTTTGTCTTTTTGTTATTTTGGTTTTTTGAGACAGGGTTTTTCAATGTAACAGTCCTGGCTGTCCTGGAACCCTCTCTCTCTGCAGACCAGGCTGGCCTTGAACTCAGACAGCTACCTGTGCCTCTGCCTCCCTAGTTCTGGGATTAAAGGCGTGTGGTGATGACACCACCCAGCAACACTAAACTTTTAAAAGGCCGTTTGCGGTTAGGAGATGAAGAAAGTCTGAGCTGAGGGAAAAGCCTGAGTGTGACGCTCATATCTAAGAAAACTCACAGGACACAGATCATCACACCCCACCCTCACAATATGGTGGGTGAATACCACTGCTCTTGAATAACGGGGTCACTGTCACAAAGAAGAGTTCTCAGGATATATTCTAGGAAGAGCCAACCCAGCCTACTCTACTCCTGCACAAGAATCAAAAGTTTGAGCCCAGCCTTGATTACACAGCAGATAGAAGGCTAGACCATGTCTCAAAAAAAAAATGAGCTGGGCCCTCAGTTCCTGATAAAGTGCTAGCCTGGTATACATGAGGCTCTGGATTCCAACCCCAGGATGGAAATAAAAGAGCCAGGGGATCACAAATTATACACATGTATGTTTTTTGAGACAGTAACTCGCTTTAGACCAGACAGACCTGGAACTGGCTATGTAGGCAATCCCAGACTAGTTTCAAATGCACAGAGGTCCTCTGCCTCAGTTTCCCCAGGGCTGGAGCACTAGTGTGAGACACAGTATGTATTTTTTATTCTTTAGACACAGCGTCTTGTCTATGGTAGGCTTGCCCTGTACTGGCTATACAACCAAGGATGACCCTGAGTTTCTGATCGGCTCCACTACCTGAGTGCCTGGGATTAGACCACTGTCTGATGCTGGGAAAGAAACCCAACACCTGTGCAATATTATAGGCAATACCATGCCAGCTTGGCCACTTCCTCAGCCCCTGCAGATATGAACAAATACATCACTGTTACTCTATAAATACCCACAACTAATAATTAGCAGAAAAAGCCAGGCACGGTGGCACATGCCTTTAACCCCACTACTCTGGTGACAGGCAGATGGATATCTGAGTTCTACAATTGCCACAGCTTCTTGCCTCAAAGTAGTAAAGGATTCATTATATACACAGTGTTCTGCCTGCATGTTCGCCTGCAGGCCAGCAGAGGGCACCAGATCTCATTACAGATGGTTGTGAGCCACTGTGTGGTTGCTGGGAATTGAACTCAGATCTCTGGAAGTCAGTGCTCTGAGCCATCTCTACAACCCCCCAAATAGCATATCTTTAAGAGAGTCGATCCAGGGCTCAAAATTGAGCACACCAGACTAAAGACAGATCAGTGGTTAGTTTAAGATTTGGTTATGTTTCTACAGAGAATAAGAATTTGGATTCCAGAACCCACATCGGGGCAGTCTCCAAACGATCTGTCACTACAGCTCCAGGGTATCTGATGGGCTCTTCTGGCCACTGAAGCCATCTCCACCTATGTGTAAACCAACATGCAGCCACGGACATGTAAAATAAAAATAAATCTTAAAAGAGGAAGCTGTAGACAAAAAGTGAATGTTGCTGTTTTTCCACTAGAAAGCTCAACTTTGCTTTACCATTTATTTTTAAAACTATGTTTAATTGAAATTGAATTACATCATTTTCCTGTCCCTCCTGACATGCCCTCTGATCCCAAACTGATATCATTTATCTTTTATATATACTTATACACAAGGATATATATACACATATGTATGTACACACATGTGTATATATGTACACACATATACACACATATATACAAGTATGTTTGTATATATATACATATATACATACATATGCACACAGACACACTTGCGGATATATGGATACAAACATATACACATAAATATGTACACACACAGTATATATATATACACACACACACCCTGATAAGTCTGTTTCTGTTGTTTGTCTGTATGTGTTTTCTGGCCTGAACACACAGCACTGGACAAGCACTCAGGGTGAGAATTAAATCAGGGTTCTATAGAAATCAACACAACCCAGGGCAGATTCTGAGAGGGCGACGAGGGGGGGTGAAATGGATGGACTCACAGATAGCTGGGGTCCTTTTCTTCCTGCAGGATGTCTTGGGTTGAAATGGATAACTTCTGCAGTGTGGAACAGTTCTTCAAGCAGTAGGCGGCCACGATCAGATCAGAATACTCCTTAGCCACAAACTTGATCTGCGGCAGGAAGGTCATCACCTGCGTGACAAAGCCGTCATCCTCCAACTCAAATAGACAGTAAAACAGTTTCATGTCATCGATTTGTTTCCGAAGTTCTTCGTCGGCACTTATCTTTTCCAGGCTCTGACACAACGTCTGCTTTACCTCCTGGGACAACTGGTAGCCAAAAAACGCCTCTAGCTTTGCTTGTTCTGATTTGTGTAGCAGGCCAAAGATGAAGCAGCCCAAGAAGATCCACTGCACCCTGACTTTCTTTAGAAATGTAAACAGGAGTGTCTCCACACAGAGGACATCTTTACTAGGGTGGTCCACGTGGCTGTTCACCAGATAAAACAGGGCGGCACAGAACTCCTGGATGGATGGGTGGAGGAATGTGTAGAGATTCTTGGAGTCCCTGCTCTTTAGAAGAATCTTCATGTTCAGCAGTGTGGAGATGTCTGAGTGGAAGACCCCGTTTTTCTCAAGATCCTTCTGGTTAAAGGCAAAGTTGTCAGTCCACATGCCCTCAGCCGCCACGGAACACAGGCCTCGCAACAGCGCTTGGCTTTTCTTACTTGGATAGTGAGCACTTTGGGGAATGAACAAATTGAGAACGTAAGCGGCGAACACGGAGGTGGTACACCGGCAGACGGCGCTCAGGTGTCCTCCCCTCTTTACCTCATCATTTAGACAAGTAGCCACCATCCAGCAGAGTGAAGGAACGTGACATATATTGTACAACTGTTCGTTTTCCCTCACCAACGTAAAGACTTCTTGGGCTGTGTCCTCATCTTGGAACACCCTCTGGAAACACGACCTCCTACTGTTCTCATTGAACCCTGTCACGAAGTTCTTAACTGTGTACTCTATCCTGTCTCCCAACTTCTCGAAAGCCTCTGGGGTAGCTGTGATGAGGAGAGAGGATTCTGGGAGTAACTTCCTCCTGAGAAGACTGCTCAGGAGTATACTCACGGGACACTTCTGCATCCAATTATCACACAGCTCCGATTCCGGTTCAGACAAATCACAATTGAGCCCTTCCAAGCTGTCAATGATGAACAAGAGCTTTGCAGGCTGGGATACTATTTCTGCTATGGGAGCTGAGGGTCTGGGCCACTCTCTGGACAACAGGTCGGCCAGGCTCGCCGTCTTCAACTGCTTTATTTCGTGACAGCACAGGTAGAAGACGTAGGAGAATTCGTTCTGAAACATCAGGCCTTCTGACCAGGCCATCATTAACTCGGCCAACAGCACTGTCTTGCCGACTCCTGACACCCCTTTCAGGAGCACGGTGTGTGGCTTCTTCTCGGTTGTCTTTGGTACGAAAAGCTGCTGCAAACGACTGCATTTGTCCGGAGTGAATTCCTCCTTCAGGAAATGCTGAATCGGGATGTTGAACTTTCTGGAACAATCCTGGCTCAGCACCTTCTTCAGATGAGCTTGATATATCTTTGAGTGTCCTGAGTCAGTGAGCGGAAGAGAAAAAAAAAATCCACAACACATCAAAGGTAAGCATTCACCCATATATGATCTAAATTTGATATTTTAATTCTCAGGATGTACCCTTAAAAACATTCATTTCTAATCGTGTGTGTGTGCGTGTGTGTGTGTGTGTGTGTGTGTGTGTGTGCGATTTTGAACTTTCTGGACCAAACATGGCTCAGCATATTCTTCAGATAAGCTTGATACATCTTTGAGTGTCCTGAGTCAGTGAGCGGAAGAGAAAAAAAATCCACAACACATCAAAGGTAAGCATTCACCCATATATGTTCTAACTTTGATATTTTAAATCTCAGGCTGTACCCTTAAACAGTAATATCTAATCGTGTATGTGTGTGGGTGGTTCTAGTGGAGGCCAGAGGTGTTGAATCCCCTCTCACCTGGAGTTGGAGTTGCAGCTGGCCATAAGCCAATCCACATGGGTGCTGGGATTTGAACTCAGGTCCTCTGCAAGAGCAGGGCATGCTCCTAACCACTGCATCGTTTATGTTTTTAGGGATCTGTAAACTCTGTGCCCTGACGGGGGTTAATTTGAGATTTTCCCTGGCCCTTGAGCACAGCTTGCATTTGTGTGTAATGGATGCCACTGTTAAGCTGTCACAAGCTATTTCAGAAGCTGGCCCTGCAAGTGGGGAGGTCCCTACTCCCCATCAGGCCCAAACATGTCTATGTCAAGTGCCTTCTGTGGCTTCTTGTCTGGAAACAGACTGACCCCCAAATCTGTAACAGGAAGAGGAAAAGAATAAAAGGCCTTGAGGGTAGCTGGGCATTGGTGGCGCTCGCCTTTAATCCCAGCACTCAGGAGGCAGAGGCAGGCGGATCTCTGTGAGTTCGAGGCCAGCCTGGTCACCAGAGCGAGTTCCAGGACAGACTCCAAAGTTACACAGAGAAACCCTGTCGTGAAAACAAAACAAAGCAGAAAGTAACTGAACAGGGAATGAAGGGAATAAGGACAGTTGGGAACACAATCGAGCCTAAAGCACACACAGACAAAAAGATGAAAAGATATACACTAGACATGGGGATCAGGAGACGGCTCAGTGGTTGAAAGCACATGGAAGACCTGGGTTCAGTTCCAAGCATCCACAAGCAGGCACTCACATGACTAGTACCAGAAGATCTACTCAATATGTGCATCAGGAGTCCCAGAACAAGTCAGAGTAGGAAGAACAGCCCAGAGACATTTGTTAAAACAACAAGCAGAAGACAGAGGAGTAAAGACCCTTTTGTAGCCACAGACCTAAGATTATCAGTGAATCACATCCATGATGTCTTATGCCAGGAAAGATACCCATGTGACTCTGAAAACCACGCCTTTTATAGAACATGGCTTTTCAGTTATAGACCTTGGCTTGTGAAAGATCAGAACAGACCCAGCCATGACAAAGACAGAGAAATCTTGGTTCACACTGGATTACACACATGAAAAGTATGTGGACGGTGCGTGTGGGGAGGGGCACAGTAGCCGTGTATGTGGAGACCAGAGGCTGACACTGGGTGTCTTCTTGAGCTGCTCTCCACTTAAAAAAGAAAGATTTGCTGTTATTTGATGCATATGGGTGCTTTAGTCTGCATGCATGTATGTGGACCACATGTGTGCTGTGTCCTGGGGGCGGGGGCAGAAGAGGGCATTGGATTGCCTGACACGGGTTACATGATGGTTCTGAACCACCAGGTAGGTTCTGGAAATGGAGCCCAGGTCCTCTGAAAGAGTAGCAGGTGTTCTTAACCACTGAGAATCCCTCAGGCCCCTCCCCATTTCATTTTTTGAGACAAGTTTTTTTTCCCAAGCTGGCTTAGAACTTGCCATGCTGAAGGACCAGCTTGCTACAGTGCCTGGCTTTAGTGGTCTCTGGAATCAGATTCTCACGTTTACACAGATGGAGCCGTCTTCCTGCACCTCAGGTGTTTACTGTTGCTTCCAGCCCAAATCCGCAGAGCTGCCACACACTCTAGAGTTAAGTCTCCAGTTTCGACACGAGGGTAAAATTTACTGATGTCCTAGGTGCAAGTTTAACAATCTAGGTAGGTTAGGGCATGAAACCTTCATGCATTTGACTGCACAGATCAGAGCTAACTTATCTACAGGAACCTGGCTCCTTCTGCAAGTACAATAATGTCCCCCGACACCTGCTTGTCCTATGGAAGTTGGGCATGAAGAAGAGTTATCAAAACTATGACAGGAGCCTCATGTTCAAGAAAAAGCATGAACCACCTCACCAGCCATCTCTCCTGCTGCCCTCTCGCTGAGATCCTTCCTGTTGATATTCTGGAAGATTCTGAAGGTCACATCCCAGGCTTTCTTCTCATAATGCTTCACCAGTAAGTTGGCAAGGTCTTCCCGGGATGCCTTCTTCACTTCGGTCCAGGGAATGTGCTGCAGCCCACTCTCTGCCATCTCCTTCCTGAGGACCTCCTTGAACTTCATGAACTCCTTCTTGTTTAGCTCTTCCAGGTACCACATAAAAACAAAATCAGAAAAGAAAGAGGCCATCCTGTCTTAAGGAAGAACAGAGGTGTCTTCAGAGAGACGGCCACCAGGAGGAACAAACTGACGGGGTCTGTGGGGAAATCCAGCAAGGAAAGGAGAAGGCTTTTAACAGGTGAAACAAATTCCTCCTAAAGACTTCAGATTCCATGTTCATCAGAAAACTGGGGTCAAAATAAATTCAGCTTGTGCCACCCAGAACTTATTTTACATCCACACCCATGCTCACAAACCCATACATATTCACATAGAGGACAACACACACACACACACACACACACACACACACACACACACAC